ATATATATATAAAATATATATTTTATTTTTGAATTGAATGATGACTACTTACGTTTGTAAATTTAATTACCTAAATAAATTGTGATGTGAATTTATTATAATATTATAGATACTTTCGAGACGAATTTCTTTCGATATCGACATTGTGGTAGGATTCCCTACATAGTTCAAGGCTACGTACAGAGTTATCTGGATGTGACACCGGACGGGAACTGCGGATTTCGGGTGGTTGCGAGTTACATTTATAGGAATCAGGAGATGTGGCAACTGGTAAGAACTAATGTTGCAAATGAGATTGCAGCCAACACACATTTGTACGCTCCTTTTTTTTGGAATGGGGTCGACGTCGCAATCGATCGTATAAGATGGGACGGGGGTCCTTGTAGCTCGGAGCATTGGATGGATGCTAATAGCGACCTCGTTGTTATTGCTACACTGTTTAATGCAGTTGTTGTGTTGCTTGGCTATGGTCCGAACAATAACAATATGAATATGGCCAGTATGACGGTATTCCCGCTGCGCGCATCATTCACAGCTACAAGACCTGACCGTGAGATCGTTATAGGTCATCTTGGTTCTTACGAGCACTTCATTCGTTTGAATATGTGTTCTGATTTTCCATTGCCGCCTATGTACATGTTTTGGGAGAGGTACCGAGATGTTTCGGTTGCACATTGGCCGGATCAGTACCAGAGCAGGTTTCAGTTGTGGCATGATATTCGTACCGCAGCTAGAGTATAGATTGTGACATTTGACATTCATCATATTTTCATACATTATGCGTATATGTTCGTACTATGTTTACGAGTGATAGATTGTGGCATAATCGTTTTTTTTTTTTTGTTTGAATGAAAATAAAATTAACTAACCACAACAAAACAAACATAAAATAATTCTACTAATAATTTGTTACAAAACAAACATAAAGTAATATAAAGTTACCATAACAAAACAAACATAAAGTAATATATATATTTATTACATCACTACTGCGCTTTATCGAAATTTGACTTCAATTGAGCAATTTTTTCTGCAAAAAATGCCGCCCTTTCGGGAGCAACTGCCGCGAACTCCCGATGCATATCTGATGCCATGGACTCCCACTGTCCGACCCACTGCATAAAGCACAAGAAAATAAAATATATACACACATTTAAATTATAAAACATAAAAAAGTGTAATGAACGTATAATAAATTAAATTTTGTAAACGACTTACAAAATCGATGTTGGCGCGCGCAGGGACAGCCTCGCCGTCCGCCTGACTATCGGGCAAGAGCCTAGGATGAGAATACTGCTCATACCATCGCTGGTAGTCCTCATGGGCCGCATCCCGATCATCTGCCGTGGTCGGAGTAAAATCAGACAAGCGTATAGAATGCAGTAGCGGGAAATGGCCCCAGTGATCTACTGCAGTAGTAGCTCCATGCTCGACCCTGTACATCCTAGAATTCCAACCACGATATGCAGTGTTCGGCCGATACATGCTGAGAGGGATGATCTGGCGGTAGCCCAACTGGCGCAAGGAACACATAGGCATGTACGGCTCCACAATATCCCGGTACATAAGGCATCCGGAATAAAGGGTCCTAGGCTCCAACACATGCGGCTCGGGGCCGTATGGCAACCAGTTTACCTGTTCACATTTGCATAAAACATTTATTCGAACAATTTGAGTATTCTAAATAACTTTCAAGTAAATGTAAATAAAATAACTTAACGTACCTCGGCGGCTGTGAGTTTGTCAAGCCGCACACGGAAATCCTTGAGGCGCTTATCTGAGTTATCTGGGACGGCGGTCCTCCACAAGGCTGATCGAGCTAGGCTGCCAGTCTCGGAGGCCATACGAGCACCGGGGGGTCGGAATGTGGGGAAATACTCATATATCCAAGACTGCAAGAGAGTCAAACAGCCCGCCACTCCCCCCGAGTCCCCCCTGCTGGCCATACCTAAATGTCTGTATAGGTATGCCAGTGCAGCTGATCCCCACGAGTAATCCCCAACTGTCTGTAGGTCTTGCATCATCTCGTACAGGATCTTGGGACTGACCCTGTTACCACTCTTGTCCGTAAACAAGGTGGTAGCGAGCAGCACCCACAACCAGCCAGTCGCCACATGCTCAGCCGACCGTTTTGCGCCATTCTTCTGCAATGCAGTAAAAAAGGTGATATTCGACACTGAGCCGTGACTCCAAAAGCCTGCCATCAGCCAGTCCTGGCTCACCCCCAGCAGCTCCATGCAGTACGCATGCTGTGTCATGCTGTCGAGGTCCCCTGTGACTACCGATCCGACGACAGGAACCCCCAGTATGGCCCTCACGTCGTGGAGCAGGATACTCATTTCACCAAAAGGGAGGTGAAACGAGTTAGTATCCGGCTGCCATCGCTCCACAAATGCTGAAATAAGTGGAGTGTCGACGTGCTCGTGCATGCTGGACGCCAGATGTAACAGCCCGGTCGGACGGATCAGATCTCGAGCACTGTCATCCATCCCTGTGAGCCACTCCCTCAAAACTCTGTTGGCCGACATCCTGTTTTGGCACTTCAACGTGCCTCTGAGCTGTCCAGTCCAAATCCGGGAGGCTACGTGCCCTAGAAAACTAGGGATAACACTCCCGTCGACAGGGCCACCGGGTACTGGGGCTTTAACAAGCCAGTCGTCGCACTTAGTGCGTTTGCTGCTCGCCTATGTATTAAAAAAGATCAATTAGTATATATACAACATATTGTCATTGACTGTATCAATAATGCACTATTATTAAATAAAATCTATATATATATATATATATGTTGCCTAACACCATTTAATAAAACATTTAATAAAACTTCATTTCGATTTCCCTCCAAACTCGTTACAAACTTTATTATTATTATTATTATTATTATTATTATTATTATTATTATAATAAAAAATATTATAAACTTTTTTTGCCTGAAGTTATTTATTCTAAAATTAATATTATATTTTTTTATATTATTTAGCGATTGTAAACAACAATAAATACGTAAATCATTTACCTGATGATGAGGATGCGCCCGCATAACGACCCCCAGCCTGTCGTGGAGGATCCACTCGGGCAAGTCGTTTACCTGGATGTGGCTGTGGCTGTGGCCGAGGGTGGGGATGTGGCTGTGGCTGTGGCTGCTCAGCTGCATCAAGATCGACATCATCATAGGCCTGCTCGACATCATCATAGGCCTGCTCCTCGTCATCGTCATCATCATAAACATCATCATCATCATCACCATCATCATCATCACCATCACCATCATCATCATCATCATCATCATCATTATCATCATCATCCTCATCATCATCCTGTGGACTCCTGACTGCCGACTCGTAAGTGGAGTCCCGTCGATGAACAATACGTATAATCGGGACACGTCCAAAACTGCTAGCGCTCTGCATCTGAGTGGGGCGTCCCGAACTGGCAGGCATGAGTGGGCCAGGCATGAGTGGCCCAGACTGCTGACCACTCTGCATCTGAGTGGGGCGTCCCGAACTGGCAGGCATTAGTGGGCCAGACTGCAGACCACTCTGTATCGGAGTGGGGCGTACCAAACTGCCAACCATGAGTGGGCCCGACTGCTGTCCACTCTGTATCGGAGTAACATGATGACTCAGACTGCCAGACATGAGTAGTGGGCCCGACTGCTGACCACTCTGTATCGGAGTAACATGATGACTCGGACTGCCAAACATGAGTAGTGGGCCCGACTGCTGACCACTCTGTATCGGAGTGGGGCGTACCGAACTGTCAACCATGAGTGGGCCCGACTGCTGTCCACTCTGTATCGGAGTAACAGGATGACTCGAACTGCCAGGCATGAGTAGTGGGCCCGACTACTGACCACTCTGTATCGGAGTAACGGGAGGTCTCGAACTATCAGCCTGGGCAGTCTGTACCGTACGAGCATGAAGGAGCATCCGGTTCCTCTGCTCCCGAGCCGAAACATTCACATTACGACCGTGCGTGTGTCGGGGTCCAGAACCAGTAAAATCGGCAAGATACTTATCAGCCTAAATAAAAAATTTTAAACGAATAATTAGTAAACAAACTTTTTTTAATTCATTTATTTTAAAAACTTAAAGTAGTCAACTTAATTTATTAATCTATACTATATATATTTTCGAAAAATTATATTTTTTCGAAAAAATTAAATTATATTTTTCTATATACTATAATTAAATAATATTTTTTCGAAAAAATTAAATTATATTTTTTTATATTTTTTATATTTTTCGAAAAAAATAAATTATATAGAAAATTTATATAAAATATATATTATTTTTAAATATTTTTATTATTTATTTTTAATTAATATATTTTTAT